ACTCGTAGCGCCACGGTCCACAGCTGATCAGCCGTTGTGGGCCGCTGCGCTGCAGCATAAGCCTCAGCAACAGCAACAGCAGCAGCACAACAGCAGCAGCACAACAACAACAACAACAGCAATCCCCATATGTAAAATTAGAACCGCATAGTCCACCGGAAAAACGGCAACGCTTAAACACCGCGGCAGCCGATTGGCGACCACAGCAACTGACCTGAATGTCGGCTTCCAGCGGGTGGCTTCCGGATCTTGAGCTGTGACCATAAGGCGCGCAACTTGAACTGAACGCTCCAGGTCGATCTAGCCCATTAGCCCAGCGCTTCATTTTCCACATCGTTTCCCGTTCACTCTCTTGTTCGTACCTGCTGTATCTTTCTAAGTCTCTGGGCGTGTCATTATCATCAAATCTCCCATTTTCATTCGTTCATCCACCTTTTTTTCGAAGACAGTGAACGCGATGGCCAGGAGGTGGAGCGGTTTTGATGACGTCATTGGTGGATCAGGTTCCTCAGTGCGCTAAGGATCACCTCCCAATTTCCCTCCACCACGCTCAATGACGTCACCAAAATCGCTCCGCTCTTCAGACATCGTCTTTACTGCCTTTGTTCCCGCAAACGCGCTCTCTCCATCACCCCCAGCCCCAGCCCCGCTCCACCCAACCATCTCCAATCTCCGGTCTCCCCTATGTCCCAATCCAATTATCCCGGTCTGAAATCGATTCTATTCCGTGTAGTAGGTTTACATTTGTTTGTAATCATGAGATAGAAATATCTCCTTTCATGTATAATTACAATGCTCCGTGTCCAGTATATTATGTGCGAGTGTGAAAAATTATAAGATTATTAATATAAAGTTTATCAAAATCTTTCTTACTTCAATGTATATTTATTTATACAAAGAAAAATAAGAGCAGAAAAAAAAACGGATCAGGGATGAAGGGACACATCTATACTGACTAAGCCAACACAAATTCAGACCTTTTTACTTACTACGTCAACATCATCATAAAACCTGCGTTCCAATCAATCAATAAAAATGAAATAAACATACACGTGTAAGTAATCAATTCAATAAACACATAAAATAATAGGAACATTGTACAGATCTCATTCACCCACCCACACATACACTCACACAACACTTAACTTGACCATTTACAGCCAGATGCCAGCATAGGAGGTAATACACTGATTTACTGTTGTTGGGGTGTTTTCGCGCGTGCGCATATTCCCTTCAAAAAATCGATTGATCTGCAAGGCAAAAAAAAATCTCGCGCACATTTGGTTGGGGACTGCCATTCATACGATCTCGCTATCCCGGTTACAGCTGTACCCGTTGTCATATCAAGCACTAGCAGACATAAAAGATGTTACGTAGGCGCCAACTCTTGACAAGATTTTCACACAGCCAATCAATACTCGTCACCGCACACAAATTGGCGCCAATTCAAACCTAATTTATCTCCGATAGCGAATGGGGGCTGACAAAAACAGCTGCAACTAAAACGTCACAGGACAGTTTAGCCTCAATAGAGAATTTCTGTCCTAACAAAAGGAACTATTCAATACAATAACAGTACTCCAAAATGAGTATCAAAATGGAAGCGTACGTTTCATCGGAAGCTCAAACACCATATCAACCGGCTAATTCAATACCACTAACTAACATGTCAACATCGACATTAATTGCCCAAATTTACTGAGACAATGGAGCATTACCACCACCACTGCCATTGGTGTAATGGGTTTGTTGAACAAGTGATGCCAGCACTTGTTGCAGGTTCGAACCCGCTGGGAACGTCTGCTGTTGTTGTTGTTGCGGTTGGGGTGCGCTGCCGTCGGATAGTTGAATGACAAACCCGCCGGGTTGTTCGTCGCCTGATACCGTCCAATCAAATTTCCCAGCGAATGCTTGTACGCCGCCGTGTACGACGCGCCTGCGTTCAAGGTACCCGTCGGTGGTGGCGGGTAATGTGGGCGTGAGGCGGCTGGTTGGCTCCATTGCGATTGGTGATAGTACGACAGTGCGCCACTGTTGGTGTAGATACTCTGCTGAAAGACAGAAAATTAGATATTACTCTGTGGCAAGTGTTGTCCCTGTTGGCTCATGACAACATTAATTAAATAAATATGATTGTTTTATAATTAAAAAACACATTTCACGCTGAGGATAAGAGCCTGTGTGCAACAGTGCGCGGCCGGGGGTACCTCCTCAAAACTTTCCTTCTCCACTCCGCTTCATGACGCATCACACATGTTAGAAAATATGCCGGCATTTGTCCACAAATGCTGGGAGCAATCTTTTCTCAAACAGGGACGTCTGCTTTGAAATTTAGAAAAGGTCCCATCAACAAGATAGACGTAGTGCCCCACTTGATTATGCTCACCAGTTCAGGGTAAAGTGTGAAGTTAAAATTTAAACTGAACAGTGATGAAGTGATACTGAAGGACCGGGCTGCATTCAAAAGCACAATGCCATTCGATCCTTTCAGGACTTCATCGAAATCGATAACGCGTGCTAGTTCGCGAACAAATACAACAGCCTGATGGTCTCTCTCCATCTTAACATACTATTCTAATCAGTTCCAACTAATCTATTCTGTCGTGTGACTTGCAAAATTGAATCCAATCAGTACCTAAAATGTAAGTTTTTTTTGCTGTAGGTACTGACCATCAGTCTCAGAGCCGGTAACTGTAAGTGCGCATACACCTAAATTACCATGCAACCACACCCACCGTTACCGGCTCTGAGATCGATCGCGCGATGTATTCCTGTGTTGAGATGTCCCGTGTGGACCCCGGAAAAAAATAAATATTGAATAAATATTGCGATTTCCTAATTTATTTCAAACATATTTGGGATTTCCTGTTGCATTGCCCAAGTTGACGGTTTCCCTACATTTTGGCGTGGGCTTGTAACCTGTGAAATTACGCTCTCCGTTTTCAACCGAAATCTCCAAGAGCAAACAAATCATAGCAATCAGACCTCAAATATCCAGATTACGTCATTCGTTTTGTGTCTTATAACAAGACATCTTGGTGGTTTCCAAGATCTCAAATACCGCGGGATCTCGAGTTGACACTAAACCCTACGTAACATGGTGTGTAGCACAATGCTCACACATTCATACCAAATCCGCAGATAGGAATAAGTACACGTGTTGCGTGTTGTGCGTAAACCCGCAACCCTGGGTTATTCGCGGGGTTTGACTGCAAGAAGGACGAAATCACACTACATTTTTGTACTTTAAGCCCATGTAGGCTCACGATCAAATCAGCACTTTTAATGGAATAGTGGTATTCAAGGATATAATTATAGGCTAAAACCGCCAACTAATTTCTGTCTCATTATTTTGCATAATTATATTAATTTTCATTTCATTTTTTATTTATTTTCAATTTCTTCAGTATTTCACCTTTCAGAAAGAAAACTATTATATTCACAAGAATACTAGTGACTTACATGACCAGCAAGCACATTATGTGGTTGAATTGTCGGTACACGACTTGCCATCACCCCATTACCATTAGTGAGCGTCATTGTTGATGTCGGAGGAGCAGCAAATGTGCATGGGGCAGGCGATGATGACATTGGTGTCATCGACGATGAGGTACTGCTACATGTCTGAAGACGATCATAGAAGCTCATCCACTAAACACATTTCTTTTCGAACACACAATATATTGATAAATGTGTTGTAAGTTTTTTTTTCTAGATTTATTTGCTTGAAAATAAAACTGCTTTGGAACTGAAGGCGCTTCACCATTAAAAAACGTAATTATCAACTGCACTTTCTTAAAGTGCACCGTCTTTGATAAGCTGAACAGGATAACGTCATTGGTCTAATGATTGCTTTATTGTGGACACAATGCTTGCCAGTTGTATTTCATTATCGATTAAGAATCGAGCACTGTAATATTAGAATCGCAAGCCCAGCCGTCTGAAGGCGAAAGTGTATAATCTGGACCATTGGGACCACCTATACTTTCCAACGATACAATTGCTTGCCTTTGAAGGCAAGGGTCAGGCTCATCGCAATGAAGCCTTTCCGGTTCATGGAGGTACTAGGTCCACCACTGCAGTGGTCGAGTCACTTTCGCGCGTCTAAAGCGTCGCTAAGCCGGAGAATTAGGACCTGCGGTCCTCCAGCGTTGCCAAGAGATCCATGCTCTGGCCCCCGGATTGCTACATTATTACCTGATCTATCTGACGGCCCAGGTAATCTCCTTGACTACGTAGCTCTCTTTTTTCTCTCCGCGACTTCATTATCTCTCTGCTCGATATATGCCTCCTAGACTGCTCCAGAGCGCAGAGCAAAAAGGTATGTATTCTCTAAGTTTCTGACAAGTCCTTTTTTCTTTCTTCTGCACAGCTGTTCTTCTCGCCTGGCACGCAGCTACCTTCACATCGAGGAATTTTCAAACATCAGACTTGATCCTGCATCCCTTACCCCCTGAAAGCAGCGATCACAATTGCTTGGAAGCGGTGCGGCCTCCATGCAGGGTCTGTCCTATCGTTGTTACTTTTCGAAAAATTTTTACGACCCCCCTCCCCCAACGTGGATTTGATACGACCCCCTTTTCCCTACCTCCACCATCTCCATCTTCCATCAAAACCCCGCCCACTTTTTCCTCCAAAAATGCCGTCGAGCAGGGGGGGGGGGGGTTATACGCCCGCTGAAACGGCAAATTTTTATCCTGCGCGCCCTCCACTCGCCCAGCCTACTACCCACGAAATCTTAGTTTCACCTCAATCCCACACGTGATTTCGAGCGACTAAAGTGGGTACGACCCCCCTCCCAAACTCAACCAGGTACGACCCCCCGTTGGTACTTGTACCAACGTAGGGTTGACCCTGCCTCCATGACGTATTGTTGAGGGTGGAACGATTCCGATAACGTCATTGGACGTAATTGGAGCGTTAAGAGCGTCCCTACCATACACCCTCCCAGCAAGCTCTAATCTACCAATGACGTCATCAAAACCGCACCGCCTTAAAGTCATCGTGATAAGGTAACTACACCAAAGAGTGGAGTGTGCAGTATCGGCTGGGATGCTGGAGAGCATATGATTGGTTGGTAAAGTAGATCTCTAATTACAAGCACGATTTACAGGCGCTGCTCTTACAATTATGCGGCGGAAGTGCTTCAAGAGCGAGCTTCATTTAACAACTGTGTACTTTAAGGTTTTCCAAACCTTGAATAACTGACCGTCCATAACAGAATGCCCGCGACTCAATCAATACTCACCCCTTTACACAGACACTCTGATTTTTGAAATTCAAAATTTACAGGGAACTACAGAGAACAGAAGCAATGAAGTATTTTTATTAGAAAAAAAACGAGTAGCTAAGTGATTAACCAGATCTTAGAACGCCGTATTTTCAATTTTCCATTTCTCGGCACATTTCATGGTCTTCTCTGCAAGCGCCGGGATTCACCTTACCCTTTAGATACCGTGAAAATGAACAACGAAAAGTGCTCACGTTGGATGGTGGTGGGGCAGGCGGTCGTGGAGGACTATCATCATCCAGAATAATGATGGAACTGTCATGAGAACGTGATGGTGACGACGGCGGATTAGCCGGCCGAACCGTACTGCTTTCCACTATTGAGGCACGGATAGCTCTCTCGACTGCTTGTTGTTCATCGTCATCCGAATCAGAAAGCACTACAAAACTTATGGATCAATCATGTTAAGAGCTTAATATAACACAAACTAACCAATGATATCGTCATCGTAAGTGGGTTTACATTTCGGTGGAGGGGCTGTACCCGTTCCAGATCCACTTGCCACTCCACTATCATACGGTTTTTCGTCGACTGTCGATGCGTCCGAATCCACATCAACACATTCACTTTTCACAGTCCTATATGAGCCATCCACCAACAGTTCTACTTCTACTGCACCCGCATCGACATTTGCCAGGATGTTTTGGAAATAGCTGAAAGAAAAAATACTGCAGATGGTAATACATAGCGGCTAATCAACGAAATTTGGAACAAAGATGAGCTGTTGCTTCGCATGTCCTGCTATTAATATGTTGAGAAAAAAAAGAAAGCTACGCGGTATTTTTTTTTTAGCAAAACAATCATGAAAAATTTTCTTTTTATGTGATTATGATTAATCGAATTTGATAGGCACAGCCGTTTGAGTGCGCGAAAACGTACAGCATAGTGAAACTGGTAAAAAAAAAACAGTGGAAGATCCCTTCTGCGCAATCGCAACGTCAAAGCAGTGTCGCAACAGCGAAAACAAGCCCAGAAAACTCAGGAAATTTGCCCCTTGCTAGTCCTGCCAGGTTCTGCCATAAGATTGATTGCTTAGCTGACCGTGATAGTCGGACATCCCATTCGAGTCGAAAGCTCTACTGGTGCTGACAAAGCCAGCTTTCTTTTGTTACTTCCTCAACCCATTTTCATGAATATCTTACCCTTTCCTCATTTCGACCAGTTCTGTATCATGCCCACGTTACACGATTATTATTACTCGCTGGTGAACCAGTACGAAAGATTTGTTGAATATAAATCGATGGTGTCATTTCCCGAGAGATCGGAGTCATTCTAGGAACTCTAATAAGACAATCGCTTCCTGAAATCCAAGTGATTGGAGCTCCACATTTTATAATCCATATGTATATAGTAAAAAGAAAAGATCAGGAGCACTTTTTCAAAACTTTTTTGTAACAATCATACGCTAACCGTGCTTGAACGCAGAAGCGTATAGACATCGCCCGAGATGGTAAATGTCAGAAATGAGAAAGCCGCGAGACTTGACTTACCTTGGACTGACTCGAGCAATCAGCCATAATGGTATTAACGACCCTACAGGTACTACTCAAGGAAGTCTAAATAGAGTGGCTTAAATCCTGCGGTGCTCTAAACATTAAACACGACAAAAGCACTGCGCAGGAAGGTCTGAAACGCAGTCACTACAGCTTATGGATTGATTGTTCAGCTTCGCCATCAAATTGAAAATAGGTACCATTTCAAAAACTTTTGGTGTCAGAGCAGCAGATTGATCATTTCGTATGTCGCGCCTTCCAGACACGTCAAAAGCCGTAAACGACCAAAGGCTTTTCAGAGATGATGTGAACTCCGCTTAAAAATATGCTGGTCGTTACGCAACCAAAACCACCCTTTCGAGGAACAGCTAGCAACTTAATTACTAATACACCATTAGGTCGTAGTTACCACAACAATCTTAACTTCCATTAGCGCTGATACAGTCACATTGCTGCTCTTACAATGTACAGTTCTGCTGTAAAGGCGATTTGGAGAGAATTCGAGTGCTTGCCTAGACGTTACGAAGCATTCTGCCTAGTGAGTATGAGTAGCATTGCACGGTTGCCGTCACAACATCGCAATCAGATATCAGTTACTATCAACCATGAACCTCGAGAGAACTTCCACACTTATCCCTGCTCGATTGGATTCCCAAAAACATTTATTTTCGGGACATCAGAACTTACTGTCGCCAGAACGAGCATGTTCACTCTTTAGGGAGATAGATATTGAAGGGGCTTGGGCTGACGGAAAACAGCATTTACGTCTCAATTGTTATAAATCGAGTCAATCCGAGATAAGCAGGCTGCACCAAACTGCTCAAGATTCAACTTATAATAATATTCCAATATTCATAATCATTTTTCCTCAACAGCGTTCATAAAACTTTTCCCGGCTATGCTCTTGCTCGTATAACTGCACAAAATTTCAAAATCATTGCACATAGGTGAAGTCTCCCGTATGGAGGAAGGAGGGGCGCGAGTTGGTGGTGCCATAGACTGTTGGCAATATCGACGCCTGTTTTATTTTTGATTCACAAAGAACACAAAAAATGGCGTCGACTTTTTTCAAGGTCATCGCCAGTGAGAGCGAACTACGATAGGCCCCTGCGATATGCAAAGCATAAACAAGCATTACAGAATAGTGTAAATGCGCAGCACTTCTGCTTCAAAATGAACTAAAAATATTTGTATTATGCAAATGAACTCAATGAGCATGTGGAAAGAAAACCAGTCATTCTCTGCAGGATGTACTGTACTTTGACTACGTTTGTGCCCTAGCTTGTTAGGGCGAGAGAGACAAAAATAGAAATATTCAACAGGTTCCCATGGTCTCACGGCTACGTCAGTGCAAGTCACAACTTTTGCAATGCCGAGCTCATAACCTCACAGATATTAATAGAAATCTGCATAGTACACCAAGAATTGCTTAAGCTGATGAACATTCCAGTTGATGAACATGCCTTTGACTTTGACTATGACTATTGAGGTACTTGGATGTATTTCAAGCCTACAGCTCTAGTTCATCCGAGATTCATGTCGAAGTTTACTACGTTCCAGAACAAGCGGTAATAAACACGGCTCCAGCAGTGACCTAACTCGGAAAGGTCTTGGTTAAGCTATTGCAAGTTGACAAAAGGAAGCCTCAAGATTACAGAAATCATTCCAGCTGGGCCCTTCCTGGCCTCGATTCATGGCATTGATTGAATCTTGGCGGAAGAGCCCCAGAGCTCATTTTGACTCCCTTGCTATTTCAGTAATTTCAATTTTCAAGAAAAACTGCTCAATGGCCCAACAATGGAAACTGCAACTTTTATGTTGTCATTGATAAGACTACATCTCTAGCGACTATCAGGACACACCATTTTCTAGATTTAGTTATGCCATCTACTGAAAAAAACCGCACTTCTCGTGCAGTATGCTTCGTTCATGACGGCCTATGCTAACAATTTCGTGTCGATAGTGTTGAAATCGCTGTGCCAATAAATGAAAACGATCGGTCAGTCGACGCTGGTCATTGCCGAGCGAATCGCGTTGCTTTCTGCAAACACGCGTGAACACACACGACTTGTGACCGCTGTCATTGAAGAGCGACGCGACTGTGAGGAAAAAACGCTCTTATACCTCCCCTACACGTACAGCAAACACACGCATCAACAATGTTCATCCGCTGGCGATCCAACTCCTCTCTTCGTTTTACGATCCGAATTGCCTACAACGGGGA